TAAAGACAAACATAGGCTCAGAGTGAAGGGATGGAAGACGATACTCCAAGCAAGAGGCAAGCAAAAGAAAGCAGGTGTTGCCATACTTACATCAGACAAAGCAGACTTCGAGACAAAAAAGACAAGGAGATACAAAGAGGGGCAGTATATAATGATAAAAGGGACATTCCAGCAAGAGGACATGACACTTGTGAATATATATGCACCTAACACAGGAGCACCAAAGTATATAAAGCAACTATTAACAGACTTAAAGGGAGAAATTGACAGCAACACAATAGTAGGGGACCTCAATACCCCACTTACATCAATGGATAGATCATCCAGACAGAAAATCAAAAGGAAACAGTGGCCGTAAATGAAACACGAGATCAGATGGACTTAACAGATATATATAGAACATTCCATCCAAAAACAGCAGAACACACATTCTTCTCAAGTGCACATGGAACATTCACAAAGATAGACCATATGCTGGGAAACAAGACAAGCCTCAATATATTTAAGAAGACTGAAATCACATCTTTTCTGACCATAATGCTATGAAACTAGAAATCAACTACAAGAAAAAGGCTGAGAAAGCCACAAATATGTGGAGACTAAACAACATGCTACAGAACAACCATTGGATCCATGAAGAAATCAAAAGAGAAATAAAAAAATACCTGGAGAGAATGAAAATGAAAACCAACATACCAACTCTTACAGGATGCAGCAAAAGTGGTACCAAGAGGGAAAGTTATAGCAATACAGTCCCCCCTCAACAAACAACAAAAATCTCAAATAAGGAATCTTAAACTACACCTAACAGATCTAGAAAAAGAAAAACAAAGCCCAAAGTCAGCAGAAGGAGAGAAATAATAAAAATTAGAGCAGAAATAAATGAAATAGAGATTAAAAAAACAGAGAGGCTCAATGAAAACTAAGAGCTGGTTATTTGAGAAGATAAACAAAATTGACAAACCCTTAGCCAGAATTACTAAGAAAAAAAGAAGTCTCAAATAAATAAAATTAAAAATGAAAGAAGAGAAATTACAACAGATACCACAGAAATACAAAAGATTATAAGAGAATACTATGAAAAATTACATGCCAACAAATTGGACAACTTGGAAGAAATGAATAAATTCTTAGACTCATACAACCTCCCAAAACTGAATCAAGAAGAAACAGAGAATCTGAATAGACCAATCACAGGTAAAGAGATTGAAACAGGAATCAAAACCTCTCCCAAAACAAAAGTCCAGGACCAGATGGCTTCTCTGGAGAATTCTACCAAACATTCAAAGAAGATTTAATACCTATCCTTCTCAAATTATTCCAAAAGACTGAAGAGGATGGAATGCTTCCTAACTCATTTTACAAGGCCAACATTACCCTTATACCAAAACCAGACAAGGACAACACAAAGAAGGAAAATTATAGGCCAATATCACTGATAAACATAGATGCAAAAATCCTCAACAAAATATTGGCAAATCGAATACAGCAATAATTAAAAGGATCATACACCATGATCAAGTGGGATTTATACCAAGGACACAGGGATGGTTCAACATTCACAAATCAATCAATGTGATACACCACATAAACAAAATGAGGAATAAAAATCACAGGATCATCTCAGTAGATGCAGAGAAAGCAACTGAAAGATCCAAGACCCATTTATAATAAAAACTCTCAATAAAAGGGGTATAGAAGGAAAGTACTTCAACATAATAAAGGCCATATATGACAAACCCACAGCCAACATCATACTCAATGGTGAAAAACTGAAAGCCATCTCTCATCCCTCTGATGACAAGGGTGCCCACTCTCACCAATCCTATTTGACATAGTACTGGAGGTTTTGGCCAGAGCAACTAGGCAAGAAAAAAAAAATAAAAGGTATCCAAATTGGAAAGGAAGAAGTAAAACTCTCACTGTTTGTGGATGACATGATTCTATATATAGAAAACCCTAAAGAATCCACCAGAAAACTATTAGAAATAATCAACAACTTCAGCAAAGTTGCAGGGTAGAAAATCAACTTTCAAAAATCAGTTGCATTTCTACACACTAACAAAAAACTAGCAGAAAGAGAAGTCAAGAATACAATCCATTTTATAATCAACAACAAAAAGATAAAATATCTAGGAATAAAATCAACCAATGAGGTGAAAGACCAGACACTGAAAACTCTAAGATATTATTGAAAGAAACTGAAGAAGATATAAAGAAATGGAGAGATAGTCCATGCTCATGGATTGGAAGAATAAACATAGTTAAAATGGTCATATTACCTAAAGCAATCTATAGATTCAATGCAATCCCAATCAGAATCCCAATGACATTCTTCATGGAAGTAGAACGAAGAATCCTAAAATTTATATGGAACAACAAAAGACCCCGAACAGCCAAAGCAATCCTGAGAAAAAAGAACAAAGCTGGGGGCCGGCCCAGTGGTGTAGTGGTTAGTTCACACGCTCTGCTTGGGCGGCCCAGGGTTCGCAGGTTTAGATCCCAGGCACAGACCTCTGCACTGCTTATCAAGCCATGCTGTGGCAGCATCCCATATGAAGTAGAGGAAGATAGGCACAGATGTTAGCCCAGGGCCAGTCCTCTTCAGCAAAAAAAGGAGGATTGGCAACAGGTGTTAGCTCAGGGCTAATCTGCCCCACAAAAAACAGAAAATAGAAATCCCATATGATCCAGCTATCCCACTACTGGGTTTTTATCCAAAGAACAGGAAATCAACAATACAAAGAGATCTATGCAACCCCTATGTTCATTGCAACATTATTCACCATAGCCAAGATGCAGAAGCAACCCAAGCACCCATCAAATGATGAATGGATAAAGAAGATGTGGTGTATATGTATACAATGGAATACTACTCAGTCATAAAAAAATACAAAATTGCCCCATTTGCAACAACATGGATGGACCTCAAGGGTACAATGCTAAGTGAAATAAGTCAGACAGAGAAAGATAAATACCGTATGATTTCACTTATATGTGGAAGATAAACTAACACATTGATAAGGAGAACAGATTAGTGGTTACCAGAGGGGAAGGGAGTGGTGGGGTGGGTGAAAGGGGTAAAGGGGCACATATGTATGGTGATGTATAAAATCTGAACTTTTTTATTGGTGGTGAGCAGAAAGCAGTCTATACAGAAACTGATATATAACAATGCACACCTGAAGTTACACAATGTTATAAACCCATACGACGTCAATAAAATAACTTTTTTAAAAAAGAAGAAATATTAGGGGCCAGCCCAGGGGCGCAGCGGTTAAGTTCACGCGCTCCGCTTTGGCGGCCCAGGGTTCGCAGGTTCGGATCCCGGGCGCGGACCGACGCACAGCTTGTCAAGCCATGCTGTGGCAGGCGTCCCATATAAAGTAGAGCAAGATGGGCACGGATGTTAGCTCAGGGCTGATCTTCCTCACAAAAAAATGAAGAAGAAGCAATATACAACAACAAATATACTATGTAAATATCATCACCTAGTTTGGAAGATAAAACACTTAATTTCCTTTAGCATTTGGTGTTTTGTTGAGAAAAGAAAAAAATGTCCAAATTTTAGAATAAACAAACCAAACTATCTTTTAGCATTTCAAAATAATATTCTAAAAAAAGAGCAGGAGGAGTGCACACAAGGCAACATGTGGGATTATTCCATTTTTATGAACTATCTAGAATAGGTAAACCCACAGAGACAAAGTAGATTAGGGGCTGGGGTGGAGGGGAAAATTGGAAGGTACTTGGTTTCTTTGTGCCAGAATGGAATTGTACCTTTTTAAATGCTTAAAAGGGTCACTTTATGTTATATGAATTTTATTTCAATTGAAAACAAGAACGAGAGGAGAAGGAAGATGGCAGAAAAAGTGGGGTCAGGAGGATTTTTGTTCTGGTTGTTTGTTTTTAGGATGGGAAAATAAGAGCACGTGTGCGTGTGTCCAGCAGAGAGGAAGCCTGCAATCCGCTCCGATGAGGCAGGGCAGTGTTGACGGTCTCAAGTGCCAGGGAGCGGAGACAGGCCACAGCACCGAGTGGGTGCTGAGTGAGCATCGGGAACAGCCGTGGTTGGGCCAGGGGGTGCAGTGGGGGAGGATGGGAAGTGCTTTTTGGGTGGCTTCAGTGTTCTCCTCGGTGAGCCTGCTAGCGAGGATTGAGAGGAAGGACTACGAATTGAAGAAAGAGAAGGAAGAAGGAAGCAGACTGGGAAAATGTAGCGTAACTCCAGGACGGCCGTACTGGTCATGGATGTGGACATGCGACCAGGTGTGGGGTCCGTCCTGCCTTTCTCCTGCCATGCTCCGCTGGGTGGGTGCAGGCGTGGAGGAGGCAGAGAGTCAGAGGATCTAACTCGAGCTTCGGGTTTGCCTTGGGATGTGTGAACTTGTGCTTATGGAAGTCACAGGGTCCAGGTCACGGCTTTTTCCACACTGAGCCTGAATATGCCTCTGCTCCCCGCCCCGAGATGACACCCTCAAGAGATTGCGAGAACAGCTTAAAGGAAGCCAATTGTACACCCAGAATCAGCAAATACTAACAACTGAGAGACTTCAACCAGTTGCCCCACTTCAACTTACAGGTGAAAAGACTGAGTCCCAGGGAGGCTGACTTGCCCTAAGTCCTCCAGCAAGAAATGCTAAAAACTGGAGACACTTACACCTAATTCATTGGAGGAGGAGGTCAATCAGTGTCTTTGACAGGTGTGTGACACGTATACCAGAGAAACATACACATGTATTAAATTGCTGAATAAATTATCCAAGAGATACTATTGTCGTTTTATATTTTTCTGACTTTGTTCATTATTTCCTGACATCCGAAATATCCTTTTTATTATTAATCTCTAGTTTTCCAATACAAGCATGGAGATAGATATATATATGTAGTTTCATGTATTTGGTTAGAATTCTTCTCAATCAAATCTTGGTTCTTGGTACACCAGGCACAACTAACAGCCCGAACTGTGTCTATACCATTTGTGACACCTCTTTACAAACCTCAAGTTCAAAGTTGCTGTCAATTCCATCATGCATGAAAGGATTGTCCTCTGCTATGACCTCCACAAATTTGGTTGCTGTTAATTCTTTATTTATCATTTTAAAGTCCTGTAAAAGAAACAACCAATCAAACCGCCTATAATAACAGCCTCTAATTACAAACAGCCATATACTTTTAATGTCAATTTATATCAATACAACACTTTAAGAAAATGTACCAGAAATGAGTATCTTAAAAACTGATCATTTTGAAAAGCATTCTGGATTGACATTGGTATTTACCTTTTTATTCCTTCCCTAGTCCCTCGAAAATAACAGTAAAGGTTTTTTTAAAAGAGTCATAAACCCAGGACAGAAAGAATGGGAAAGTAGGTGATCCTGATGTGAGATAGCAACACAATTCTATAGGCGGGAAAGTGCTGGACTGGTGGACTTAGCAGAACAGAGGAACAGTGAGCTCAGGGAGTCAAGAGGCAAGGCAAGTCATGCTGTAGGAACTCAGGGAGGAGAGGCATCTCTGAAAGTAACACCACGGGTAGGGCTGAACACAAAAAGATGCACTGAAAGTCTAGTCGAAGACCCTTTCACATCTAAGCTGAAAACAGAAGGTTTACTCTCTCAGATAGTGAACCAGAGAACATTTGGCCTAGAAAACACTTTGCTTCCCTAGAGTCACGGTGCTGCTGAAAACAAGGATTAAGTGAACGACCATCTTGGTAAGGCCCTCCCTCCACACTGACCCTTCCTCCACTCTGTTCTAAGAGCTGTGAAAACCAGGTTCATATCCACCCCCAAGCAAGAGTTAGGAGAAATCCTCTCTTGAAAAATTGAGCAACCAAGAGAAGAGACCTATCAATACTGACAGCTGGCTGGAGGGGAAAGGGGCGCAGTGGGGCAGTTTCCTGGCTTGGTTACTCCACAGTGAAACCTAATCTTGGACTAGCGCCGCTCACTCACAAAGAGCCTCCAATCAGCTTTACGATGCCACAATCCTATATATGGGTGGACAGCCAAGGTTCACCACACTTTATAGGGAAAGCCTTAATATAAAAGCTAGAGAACAAAACCAACGGGAAAAATAATAACAATAGGACTGGGAGGGAACAGAGGCGATGTAAAGAGCAGAAAAAATATTCCGTCCATTTAGCCCCCCTCCCCCAAATCATTCATTTCTTCAGTGGGATAAGAGAGATATTATATCCACATTTAAAAACAAAAACAAAACAGAATGCTTAAAAAAAGGACAAAGAATGAAGAGAGCTTTTGGAAATTAGAAATATGATATCAGAAATAAGACATTTGGTAGAATGGTTAAAAGATAAAACAGGAAATCTCTCCTAAAGTAGAACAAAAAAAGACAAAGATATGGATTATCAGAGAGAAAAGACTAAAATAAAACAAAATTGGTCCAGAAGGTTCAACACCCAAGTTCCAGAAAAAAAGGATGGAGATATGGAAGGCAGGAAATAGTGAAAAATTCAAGAATGTTTCATAATACTGAAGGACATATGTCTCCAATGTGAAAGCTCACATAATAAACATAAAAAGACCAACACCAAAGCCATATCACTGTGAAATTTCAGAACAAGGATAAAAGTAGATCGTAAAATATTTCAGCAAGGAAAAAATTTACATCAAAATGATGGGGAAGCAACAGTAATCAAGATAGTGTGGTACTGGTAAAAGGACAAATATAAAGATAAATGAAATAGAACCGAGAGTCTAGAAATAAACTCATACATCTATGGTCAATTGATTTTTGACAAGAATGCCAAGACCATTCAATAGGGGGAAGAAAAGAGTCTTTTCAACAAATGGTGCTGGGACAACTGGGTGTCCAAATGCAAAAGCATTAAGTTGGACTCCCACCTCGTACCATATATAAAAATTAATTCAAAATGCTTCAAAGATCTAAAAGTAAGAGCTAAAACTATAAAACTCAGAAGAAAACATAGAGGTTAATCTTCATGACCTTGGATTTGGCAACGGATTCTTAGACACAACACCAAAAGCACAAGTGACAAAAGAAAAAATAGATAAATTGGATTTAATCAGAAGCTAGTAAAAACAGAAGTTTAAATAAGACCCAGAGTCTCACACAGATCAACGGAACAGAATCGAGAGCCCAGAAATAAACCTACACATCTATGGACAGCTAATTTTTGACAAGGGAGCTGAGAACATACAACGGAGAAAGGAAACTCTCTTCAATAAATGGTGTTGGGAAAACTGGACAGCCACATCCAAAAGAATGAAAGTAGACAATTATCTTACACCATACACAAAAATTAACTCAAAATGGATTAAAGGCTTGAATGTAAGACCTGAAATCATAAAAATTCTAGAAGAAAACACAGGCAGTACACTCTTCAACATCGGTCTTAGCAGCATATTTTCAAGTACCATGTCTGGTCAGACACGGGGAACAATAGAAAATATAAACAAATGGGACTATATCAAACTAAAAAGCTTCTGCACAGCAAAGGAAACCATCAACAAAAAGAAAAGACAACCTAACAATTGGGAGAAGATATTTGCAAACCATATATCTGATAAGGGGCTAATATCCAAAATATATAAAGAACTCATACATCTCAACAACAACAACAAAAAACTAACAACCCAATTAAAAAATGGGCAAAAGATCTGAACATTTTTCCAAAGAAGATATACAGATGGCCAACAGGCATATGAAAAGATGTTCAACATCACTATTAGGGAAAGGCAAATCAAAACTACAACACGATATCTATCACGTTACACCTGTCAGAATGGCTATAATTAACAAGAAATAACAAGTATTGGAGAGGATGTGGAGAAAAGGGAACTTTCATACACTGCTGGTGAGAGTACAAAGTGGTGCAGCCACTATGGAAAATAGTATGAAGATTCCTCAAAAAATTAAGAATAGAACTGCCATATGATCCAGCTATTCCATTGCTGGGTATTTATCCAAAGAACATGAAAACACAAATGCATAAAGATATATGCACCCTTATGTTCATTGTGGCATTATTCACAATACCCAAGACTTGGAATGTCTTGGTGCCCATCAAGGGACGAATGGATAAAGAAGATGTGGTATATACACACAATGGAATACTACTCAGCCATAAAAAAGATGAAATCTTGCCATTTGCGACAACATGGATGGACCTTGAGAGTATTATGCTAAGTGAAATAACTCAAGGGGAGAAAGTCAAATACCGTCTGAACTCACTCATAAATAGAAGATAAAACAACAATATACAAACACATAGAGACAGAGATTGGATTGGTGGTTACCAGAGGGGAAGGGGGGAGGGAGGAGGGCAAAAGGGGTGATATGCACATGTGTATGGTGATGGATTGTAATTAGTCTTTGGGTGGTGAACACGATGTAATCTAGGCAGAAATCAAAATATAATGATGTACACCTGAAATTTATATAATGTTATAAACCAATGTTACCTCAATAAAAAATAAATAAATAAGACTCAGAGTCTCATAATATAAAACAACATACTCAAATGTACAGGTTTCAACAGAAAATCACTGACTCATCATGCCAAGAACCAGGAAGATCTCAAACTGGCAACCAATGAAAAAAGGCAATCAATAGACACCAGCACCAAGATGACAGAGATGACAGAATTAACTGACAAAGAGTTTAAAACAGACATCATAAAAATGCTTCAATGAGCAATTACAAACTTGCTTGAAACAAATGAAAAATATCAAAAGTCTGAGCAAAGAAATATGAGAAATAAAGAATCAAATGGAAATTTTAGAACTGAAGACTATAATAATTAAAAACTCAATGGATGGGCTCAACAGCATAATGAAAGGGAAGGAGAAAGAATCAGTGAATTTGAAAATAGAATAATAGAAACTGTCCAAGCTGAACAACAGAGAGACAATAGACTAAAACAAATTAAACAGAGACTCAGGGACCTGTGGCATTATAACAAAAGATCTAACACTCATGTTATCAGAGTCACAGGAGGAGAGGAGAAAGAAGGTGGAGTTGAAAAAGTACATGAATAAATAATGGCTGAAAACTTCTCAAATTTGATAAAAACACAAACTACAGATCCAAGAATTTGAGTGAATCTCACATAGGATAAACCCAAAGAAATTCACGCCAAGACACATCATAGTCAAACTTCTGAAACCTAAAGACAAAGAAAGATTTTTGAAAGACGTGAGAGGAAATCAATGCCTTACCTATAGTGGGAAAAATTCAAATGACAGAATTTCTCATCAGAAACCATGGAGGCCAGAAGGAAGGGGCACAGCACTTTTCAAGTGCTGAAAGAGAAGCACTTGAATCCTCTAGCCAGTGAAAATATCCTTCAGGAATTAAGGGGAATTCAAGACATTCTCAGATGAAGGCAAACTAAGAATTTGTTGCTAGCAGACCTGCCTTTAACAGGAAGTTCTCTAAATAGAAAGGAAATGATAAGGAATCTAAGAACTTCAGGAAAGAAGAAAGAACATGGTAAGCAAAAATATGGGAAAATATAATATACTTTCCTTTTATTCTTGAGTTTTATAAATTATGTTTGACAGTTGAAGCAAAAATTATAATACTGATGTGATTCTAAATGTATATAGAGGAAATATCAATTATATTATAAATGGTGGAAGGTAAAGAGATGTAAACGGAAGTAAAGTTTCTATACTTCACTCAAATTGGTAAAATGATGACACCATTAGATTGTGATAAGTCTAATATGTTTATATATAGACAGATACTCAAAAAAAACACTATTAGATAAATCAAAATGAAACTCTAAAAAATGTCCAAGTAACCCATAGGAAGGCAGGAAAAAGAAAACAAACTAAAAACAGGGAGTACAGACAAAAATCTAAAAATAAAATGGCAGACTTACACTAACATACCAATAATTATATTAAATGCAAATGGTCTAAATATTCCAATTAAAAGACAGATATTGGCAGATATTGCTGGTGGGAATATAAAATGGTCCAGCCACTCTGGAAAACTAGTTTGGCAGCTTGGTCTTTTTTTTTTTTTTTTTTTAGTGAGGAAGATTGGCCCTGAGCTAACATCTGTGCCAATCTTCCTCTATTTTGTATGTGGGACGCCACCACAGCATGGCTTGTCAAGCGGTGTGTAGGTCTGCGCCTGGGATCCTAACCTGCAAACCCCAGGCCATGAAAGTGGAGCACATGAACTTAACCACTATGCCACCAGGCCGGCCCCCAAAAATGATATTTTTAAAAGCTCATTAGTCACCTTTAAAGAATTGCTAGGACATCAACTCATTATTCTGAAAATTAATAGAAGGGAAAAATCGAGCATTTATCCCTCCTTTCCTGTATGAACTGTATTTCAGAGTAATCAAATAGCTGATGAGGTAAAGTTCTTTAAATAGGATTTACAGCTAATAAATGTAGAAGGAATGACAGAATTAGAAAATTTCTATTGTGCGACCCTTAATGAAATAATGGATGTTAGCTATGACCACCAGGGGCTGCTCAAACCACTAGCGAAATGTTTATGGGGAACTTAGAAGGATCATGCTGACACCATACGAACCCACCGGTCAACCTCAACATCACTAAAAGGGAGCATTCCTAATGTGACGCAACAGGAAGTACACAGAACCACCTGTGAATTTGTCAGGAGAAAAAAACAACCTGAATCTAATCAAGCCTCTAACTCTAACTACCACTTTAATGGAAATATGGGCAAAAGAGGAACATGTTAATCAACTCTGAGGATCGGTCAGCCAAAACTGGATGTTTGACCAATCTACAGGGACAAACGACCTCGTTTCTTCAAAAATAAAGGGCCATGAAGAACGGGAGAAAGTGCACAAATAAACAGCTGTATAATACTCCATCCAAAAAAAGTCACATACTTTTAAAAAACTTTTCCTACAGTCAGACACTAGGTTATTGTTAGTTATTCATACATATACAACACTGTTAAATTTTTTAAATCATTCTATTCCCTATTAGTATTCTTTAAGTTTTATCACTTACCTTCCCACAAGTATAAATTAAAAGTATCATGACACAAAAACTACCAATAGTATGAGAATATTGTATAAATTAGATGTCCTATTTTCCAAACTAATAACTTTTTTAAACTACTTTTTTGATGAACAACAATTTTTAAAAATGACATTTATCCCCCCATCTTCCTTTAAATGGCAAGATCTGCATTAGAGGAGATATTAGAGGCTGCCGACTATACCTGTCCCCTAATTGGGAAGCACATCGGGCAGGCACTCCCTTTGTTTCTGTTCCTTCCACTATCGCAGACCATTGGAATGACTCTCTTCCACCAAAAGAGACCCAGTAAACATTCAATGGCTATGAAAACCCTCCCAGATCTTCACTTCACTGTTTGCATATCATAGCTAGAATGTTTTGTCTTTCTTTAATTAAAATGTCTATAAATATAAAACCAATATCAAGCATGAGTGGTTACTTTCAACATCCAGAGGAAGTGTCTCGTCTTCATTGTAAGCTCATGGGGAGGAGCTGCATTTGGTCTGCAGTACGCTGTATAAACCTCCCAGCACTTATCGATGTAATTCATTGAGTAGAACGTCCGCTGTTGCCCACTGAATAAATTGCCTAAAAATATAATGGAAAAATAAACATTCAAAAAATGATTACAAAATGATATTTTGAAAAGACGATGGTAAATATAATCCTGTTGGTTTTGTATTTACCTTTTACACGGCCGGCATTTGGACGAATGTTCTCATTCATGAGTTTTGTAAAACACAAAAAGAGCGATGGGCTTCTATTTCTGTGATTAAAAAGATATCATAATCACTCCTCCCTCCAGGAGGTGGAACCTAATTCCCCTCTCCTTGAGTAAGGGGTGGACTTAGTAACTTGCTTCTAACAATTAGAGTATAGAAAGGGAAAAACAGTAAGTTTACAGTAGAGAATCCCGGCTGACACCACTTTAACCAAGTGATCAAAGTTATCACCACCAGTATTAAGACAGAATGACGTCACATACCCCTGATATGATGTGACGAGAAGGACAGTTCACCTCCACGATATTCTTCCTCAAACTCATAACCTCAGTGTAACGACGAGAAAACATCAGCAAGCCAAAATCAAGGGACATTTTACAAAATAACTGAGCAATATTCCTCAAAAGCGTCAAGATAAAAGTCTGAGAAACTATCACAGGTTGTAGGGGACTGAGGAGATATGACAACTAAATGCAATATGGGATGCTGAAACAGAAGAGGGTCAGCGGAGCAACTTGGGAAATCCTAATAAAGTCTGTAATTTAGTTAATGGTATTGTAGCAATGTCAATGCCCTCATTTTGATAAGTGTACCATGGTTCTGTAAGATGTTATCATTAGGGGAAGGATACATATATGAACTTTCTCTACTAACTTGGCAATACTTCTGTAAATGTAAAACTATTTCAAAATAAAAAGTTTTAAAATATATATATGATATCAATTTTGCTCTGAGAAAAGACAGGAGATTCTGGCCTGAGGAAGAATTCATTGTGACTATTTCCAAATAAAACCCTGAGAGCTAATCTGCAGTACAGAAATATGACTCAGACCTGAAGGATTTTCAAATTCTAATCTGGTATCTTACGGTTTTGTGGTTAATATTTACGGAAAACTTTGGTTTCTAGTCCTTCATCTCAGGAGTACGTAAAAATCATAATGAATGTCGAAGAAAAGAGGACAACATTATCACTACTGTAATGGTTAGCTCTGCCCCCACCCGCTCCCAGGGATCTGGAAGTAGCACTTACTGGTATTCTTTATGATGAATGTGGTAAGCCAACTGCAGGAGATAATTCAAAAATGTTCTCAAAAGTATTGTTGTAAATGGAGAATGAATTTCTTCAACTGGTATGTCATTATTGGCTAAAACAAGAAAATTGGAGAGGATGCCTAGTATTTTCTAGAAACTTCTATCTTATTTATTCCTGGTGCACAATTCAAAGAACTGAATACGATGGAGTACTTTTTTCCCTAGAGAATACTCTGAACAGTATATACACATCCACCTAGAAATTAAGTACCACAAAAAAGATCTTTATCTGGTCACTTTACAAGAAACTTACAAGATACTTTGTCCCAGTGTTTCTCAAAGTGGTCTGAGCCACATTTTGATTAATGTTGCTAATTCTAAATGGATTCTAAGTCTGTTTCAAACACTTGAATTTGAAGTAAACGGGTATTAGTTCTAATATTTTATCTTTCAAGTAGATAATTTCAGGCTTCCAGTCCTGCCTCTCAGAATTCAGCTGAAAGGAGTAAAACCTTTTAAAGTTGTTAAATGTATTGCATCAACTTTCTAATTTGAAATCAAGACCAAGCCCAAGACTATCTAAAGCCTTTCTAGGCTATTCCAAGCCCTCCCTGATCCTCTCTGCTTCTGACCTGAAAATTTAGCATTTTTTTACTTTAGATCAGGGGTAGACAAACTTCTTTGTAAAGACCCAGATAGTAAATATGTTAGGCTTTGTGGTCAGACAGTCTCTGTCACAACCACTCAGTTCTGGTGTTGTACGGCAAAAGGAGCCATAGACAATACACAAACAAATGGACATGGCTGTGTTCCAATAAAACTTTTTTTACAAGAACAGGCTAGGGGCCGGGTTTGGCCCACAGGCCCTACTTTGCTGACCCCTGCTATAGACAGTCTTTTACTGTTGCTCTTATTTCATGAGACTGTCTCTTCAAGTACATTTTAAGCACCTTGAGAACAGGACCATATGTTGATTTCTGGGCCTTCCTTACTCTCTCAACATTTTCTAACTGGTTTCACAGCAAAATGATGTTATACTCTTCTTTAAAGGCAAAGATGTGAAGGACCTGGAACACTCACTACTTAACACCCGGTCCATATCAGCAAGAGTTATTTTATGGTGATGAAATTTGCAATCTTTTAGAAACCTCCAGAAGTGAAGCTTTGTCATCAGAAAGGTGTTATCCAGAGAGCGATCACAGCCTAGGCTGCTATAAATGCTATAGATTCTTCTTAATTCTGTAATATTTCTTAAGACAGCATATTCTACCTGAAATGAGAAAACCATACATATTTTGATCTTACGTTTGAAAACAAAAGTAAAAGAAACAACAGCTGTTTTCTAAATTAAATGAGATAACACATGCAAAGTTATAGCATTTACCTTTTACCACTGTAAGAGCTCAATAAATGTTATATTCTTCCCACCCATCCCCAGGTCAATAAAATGCAATTTCTGAATAATAGTAAAAAAAAATGCTATCTGGACAATGGAATTACTTTCACACTGCTATGTGATGGCTTCCTATCTGAATGGCAGCAACAAAATTCTCTTGTCTACAGATCAATATCCCTCATGAACACAGACACAAAAATCCTCAACAAAATATTAGCAAACTGAATCCAACAGCATATAAAAAGAATAATACATCAACACCAAGTGGGGTTTATCCTGGGATTGCAAGGCTGGTGTAACATTTGAAAAATCAATCAGCGTAATCAGCATTTTGATAGACTAAAGAAGAAAAACCACATGATCATATCAATTGATGCATTTGACAAAATTTAACATCCATTCATGATAAACACACTCATCAAATTAGAAGTAGAAAGGAATTCCTTAACCTGATAAACAACATATATAAAAACATACAGCTAACATTATACTTAATGCTGAAATAAGCAATATTCATGTTGATGCTTTACTAATATCCCTCTCTGTCCCATTCACCTTGTATTATTTTCCGCAGGCCCTCAATGGTCTTATGCTGCCCCAAATTCCCCATACATGCAACCCTGCAGCCTGTACAGTATCCTGTTCTCCAAAACCAGTTACCCCATGCCTCACCCTCCCAAATACTCAGAAAATGTGAGGAACAATATTTGGGCTCCCCAAAGAGACAGAAAAGTCCTACCTGGGCCGCTGCATCAGGCATCTGTCACTCTCGGCATTAACTCCTACTTTCTATAATTCAATTCAATTGGATAAACATGTATAGCCTGCCCTATCTAAAGCACCGTTCTAGAGCAGAACACAGAATTTTCTTTATGAAGCTTAAAATCTAGTAAAGAACACAGGACATATACACAACAAGGAAATATCATTAGCAAAACAGAGCCATGGAGGAAGGAGAAATGGATTCCGAGGAAGAGGCTTCCTGGAGGACACTATACTTCAACTGAGCCTCAGAGAATGGAAAAATGAGTAAGACTGCACAGACAGCAGGCCCCCCAGGTGGAGGCTGGGGTCGGGGAGTGGACAGGGTGGGGTTGTCCAAGAATGCCAGTAGGGCTGTGTGACCTGGAGCAAGGCTGTCACCCCTCTCTGCCCCAGCTCCCTCATGTACAAGGTGAGACAACCACAGTTCCTGCCCCGGAGGCTGCTGGGAGGATTCAATGAAGTAAAGGCATTTGAAACCATGCCCAGAGCAAAGTGCTCTCTATGCCCGTACTAGCCATTATTATCCTGTGAGTGCATGGTAAGGAGGGGACTTGATGGAGGCAGGTTGGAAAGATGGGTTGATGTCAGATCCTGGAAGGCCCGGAATACCAGAACAGGAACATGGAATTGACAGCAAAGGCAACCATTTGGACGAGCTTTTTTTTTAAAAACCCAGCTTGAAGGCTGCATGCTTGCTTGGGCTTGTTCCTACTGAAACTAGAATCATCCAGAACCCATGCTGAAAAAAAAGACACCCACATTTTGACGAAATGATTCCAATAATAGATACATACAATCATGAGAAAACATCAGATAAACCCAACTGAGGGACATTCTTCAACACGACTGACCAGTACTCTTCAAAAGTCTCAAGGTCATGAAAGACAAAGAAAGATGGAGGAGCTGTGACAGATTGGAGGAGCTTAAAGAGATGTGATGACTAAATGCAATGCGGGTTTGGATCCTGGAAGAGAAAAAGGGCATTAGGAGAAAAACATGAAATTCAAGTCAAGTCTATAGCTTAGTTTTAGTGTTGCAGCAAGGTTAATTTCTTGATTTGGTCATTGCACCATGGTTACATAAGACGCCAACATGAGGAGAAGCTGGGTAAAAGGTGTAGGGAAACTATATTACTTCTGCAACTCTTCACAAGTCTAAAATCGTCTCAAAAGAAAAAGAAAAAAAAGAGATTTGCTAAGTTGTAATATGTCCATATTATGAAATATTATATAGTATTATATAGAAACATTTTAAAGGTATTCCTAAAGTGTGGAATTGCAGAATTATCTCACTTTCTATGTCATATATTTCTATAATGTTTTTTGTCAGAGTATGTGCTCCTTTTATAAAACAGTCCAGATAATATTTTTAAATACATCATTTTTTAAAAACCCACGTTTTGACATAGAAAGAACTCCAAAGTGGAAAATGAATGATATCTATATAACAGAACAACAACAACAAAAAAATATATATATATATATATAAGCAATATAAACAATGTGATCCCTTTTTTTGGTAAATCAATATATATATTCATTCATCTAAAAATGATATCATAGGAGAATACTTAATGGCATTAAATAGCTATCACTAAATACTACATGAAAACAGAGATTACATGAATAGAATGCTCCATTTCTAGATACATTCACACAGAACAAAACTGAAAAGATGGTCACAAGATTTTGTCTGGGTGGAGATTCTCTTTTACTTTTTCTTATCTGTATTTTCTAAATTTCCTACAAGTATCGTGTAGTGCTTCTGTAACTAGAGAGAGTGATAAAGGTTCCTATTTTTAACCAGAGTCTTGCAGCAGATGAAGCGAGAGCTACTAGGAGCCTGAATCACAATGTTGGCTGGGAGACAGAAAGGGGAGGATGGGGGCAAAGAGAGGCATCACTTTTGAGGCCCGAAGACCTGGGGACCAGATGAGGCAGCAATGAGGAAGGGAAAGGGGCAAAGATGCCTTGCAATTTGGAGGTGCCAATGGTTCTCTTATCGCAAACAACATCTTCAACAACAGTTTCCCAGAAGAATCACACCAAGCCCCAGTCAAAGCAGGGCCATGATACTACAGTGTAATTTTGTGGCTGTGATTTGCCAGATGCTAATCAAATGAGGTCCAGGTACACACAATTTTTTCCCTCTCTAAGGATTTCCAGATTTCTAATGATTTCTAAGGGTTTGAAGTTCTTTTGAATCCCAGCAGCCCATAATATTGCACAGCAGAATTAATGTCCTGCAGAGCGGGGTGGCCACATCTGCGGCCTTCAGATCAATCTGGGTGTGAGCGTGACTTGACCCTGACGGGCTCTGGGTAATCCTCTGAGTCCCTCTATCTGGATTTCCATTTTCTCATAAAGCCCACTCACTCACAGGGTTGCCTTGCAAACTAAATGAGATGCTATATGCAAAACATCCATCAGGCATATAGAAGACGCTCAATGCATGACAGCAGTCATCAACTGCATTTTCCCAGAACTGTGGAGACTCTGAATATTTAAGCCCAAAATATAAATTTATAACAATACAAAAGGTTTTTACCTGCTTCTTTTCTTCTGGTTGGTCCTTCTCAGGATACATATTCAGCAACAAACTGAGATCCAGCTCAATGCTCGATCCTAACACTGAATTACTTTCACTGCCATCAAGCTTTCTGATAATTTCTAGCAAATGAAGCAAATAGAGGGGATAATTTTAAAAAGCAACATTAAAATTTTTCAATGTTATGTCGAAACGATTTCCATAGAACTGTGATCCAAGAGTATTCAAAAAACCTACTAAGAAAGTAGTTGCTTACTTTAACTTCTGTTTTCTGAAGCATTAGGTGTATTTTGCTGAGTGGATACCGTGGATAATATAAATTAATTTGCTTTCAACTGACAGGCGAAAGCTCCCTACCAGCACTGATGAAAGGCCCGCGGTGCTGGCTCCTGAGGGCAGATTCTGAAGATGGGTCCAGGTAACTTGCCAATTCAGCTTCAAGACTTGGAGACTCGGCTATGTGGTCATTGGAAAACAGGCCATCGTACACACGCCCGTTCTTGAACGTTAATCGGCCCTGTAGGTAGAAAGATAACTTTTTGAGGTTTAGGAAAAGTTTTCTTAGAAAACCATTGGTAAATGTACATCAAGATCTTTTTCAAAAGTTTGGAGGGTTTTGTTTGTTTGTTTGTTTTTAAAATATGCATAGACTCCTGGCATCTCACATCACTGTGTAAATCCTCTCCTCCTCCTGATTCTCCTCCTCCTGATCCTCCTTCTCTTCTTCACCTCTCCTCTCCTCTCACTGCATCTGCCCCACTACCTCTCCCCAACTTTAAGCACCCCTAGGTCACAGAATTTGTCTTATTAAACTACGCTAGTGACCAGCAGAGTGCCCATCACAGAATAGGGACTCTCTTGATATTTGTCAAACCCAGGCCAATACTCAGTCTGATTCAGAGGTGGGCAAATGACCCAATTCAGCTCAATGAAACTCAAGACATTGGTGGAAAATTTCTTGCAAGAGAGTTGCTTCTCGGGCCGGCCCCCTGGCTTAGTGGTTAAGTGCGCGCGCCCCGCTACTGGAGGCCCAAGTTCGGATCCCGGGCACACACCGACCCACCGCTTCTCCGGCCATGCTGAGGCCTCGTCCCACATACAGCAACTAGAAGGATGTGCAACCATGACATACAACTATCTACTGGGGCTTTGGGGGAAAAAAAAGGAGGAAGATTGGCAATAGATGTTAGCTCAGAGCCGGTCTTCCTCAGCAAAAAGAGGAGGATTAGCATGGATGTT